ATTTTTACTCTTCTTTGTGAAAGGAAGTACAGGAGATTGGATCTTAAACATAAATATTTTATATGTGAAGCTGCATTTTGGGTGGGCTCTTTCATGTTTTCTGACAAAAAGTGTGGAAGGGTCTGGCATTATATTTATTGGTAGTATGGCATTGTATGAATGCTCCTTCTCAGGAATTACTAATACAAATATTCAGTACCTCCAGCTGACCCATTTACAGGTATCGTGAAAAAAACCGTTGCAAGGGATTCACTGCTGAAACTGCAGTGCAACAGTGCAAATGATCCAAAGCCAGTAAATTATCTATCAGTTATCTGGAACGTCAGGATGAATGTTCTGCTTGCATATAGGGAAGGACAGAACTGACTACCTGTTAGCAAGGCAGAGCACACACTCGTTTCCGTAGGTCTCTCCATCAGTGCCACAAACTGGATGGTAGTCCCTTGGACACGCATACTTCCCATACTTGGCACAGTCAGGCTAGGGGAGACAGGTACAAAAGCCGAAGTTACACCACTTGAAACAGGTTTCTATTCAGCTTCTGAAGAATCCTGGCATAAACAGAAAAAAAGGTGTCCAACGGGAGCTGGCACAGCATTTTAAAGTGCCACATTATCCTTCATGTTCTTAGGGGAACCCATCACTTTAGGCTTGGGTCCTACTGCCTGGCACTGGTGAACTGTGGTGTCAGAACATATCTGTGCCCCACAGCGGGAACAGCAAGTCCCCATGAAGGGCAATGCAGACGGAGATGGTAAGAGGTGGGCATCACCAGGGCTTCTGCGCTGCGGAGCCAGCAGCCTCCCGGGCTCCTCAGCTGTGGGGAGAGACCCCTGCTCTGCGCCGGGACTCCGGAGCTAGGGCAGGCGCAGACCCCCAGCTTAGGGCCCGCGGCTCTGGGTAAGGGGACGCCTGGCTGGAGGCAGGGGGGGCAGTGGGGCAGGCGGCACTCACCGCGTAGCGGGCCACGGCGCCGGGACACAAGAGGAGCCCTGTTGAGAGCGAGCAGCGTTAACGACACCTGGTCCCGCACGGATCCCCCCGACATCCGCGGAACCAGCCCTGGCTGTTACCGACCGGACGCTGCCCCGTCCTGGCACTCCCTGACCAGTCTCTGTCCGCTCCTGGGACACCCTGACCAGCTGCTGTCCGATCCCGGCATCCCTCGATCAGCCGCTGTCCCATTCCGGTCCCAGGCCTCCCACGACCAGCCGCTGTCCCAGTCCCGGCCCTGACCAACTGTCGGCCGGCACCATCTTGTGCCGGTTCCCCGCTCTGCCTCCGGATGGCTGATGTCCACCCCCGGCTAAGATACCACCGCTGCGCCGCTGATCCAGTCGGGGAACGGCACCGCTTCAGGTTTCCCCTTCTCTGGGACGGAACTGGCCGGGGCACGGTACCTGCCCATCTCCCACTTCCCCGGCACCTGCCCTCCCCCGACTTCCAGGGCCCTGGCGCGGTGCGCGCGGTACCGGCGAGGAGGACGAGCAGCAGCAGTGCCAGCGGCCGCTCCATGTCATGAACTGAGCAGCGACAGGGGCAGCAGCGGGACTCGGGGCGCAACGGCCGCGCAGCGTGAGAGCCAATGGGGGCGGTGCGGGACCGAAAGGGGGCGGTGCGGGACCAACGGGAGCGGCGCGGGACCGAAAGGGAGCGGTGCGGGACCAACGGGGACGGCGCGGGGCGAGGGGCGGCCGCGGGGGACGCTCACAACTAGGATGCCACGGCGAGGATGCGGGGTTCAGCACTGCAGGAACCTCTCCAAGGAACATGCTCACGGGGATGGAAAACCTTCCCGTCAGAGCTGTGCAGGTGGGCAGCACAGTTAATGGGGGAGGGCAGGCTGTGATTTCAGCGTTCCCCAGGGTTCCCCACTTGTCTTCAGCTTTGATTGCAGATTGTCTTAGGCAATGCAGGGAGGTTGGAAATACGCACGCAGTACCGATAAGAGTAGTTAGCTTTGCAAAGCCCATAGGTGGCTTTGCACAGGGTCTGGCTTTGCAAATGTTTTTATGCAGTTTCCTAAAAAGTAAGGTATGAGCTTCATGTAAAATGACCTATGCTTCTGTGTATGAGCTGGGGTTAGACCTGTCAAGTGTTTTGATATATTCCCCACAGGTACATACATAGGCATCACACACACCTTTCCTGTCTGTGTGTCAACCTCTGAGTCCTTTGAAGTATGGCTTTTTTTCTTTCGGACAGTTTGCCCTGCCTAGAAGAGATCATAAGGAGGTAATTTTATTATCTACTTAGTATGTTCTTAATTCCTCCAGGTAACCTCTGCAAATTAATTGCAGTTTCAGATTTTCATTCCATGCACATCTTTGTGATTACTACCCAACACAAGGCATGTTTCATGCAAAGGCCTCTGGCTTGGCTGTTTTAAGCAAGATGCCTAATCAGAACATTTTGTGACTGGTGAAGCATGTAGAGGGTTATTTATCTCTGCCTGATCTCCTTCCCTAGCTTTCCCAGCTTTCTGCCCCAGCTTTGCCTATTCAGCCATTTGAGATGAGGGTGTCTTTCTGCTATCTTGTTATTGGTGGGATGGTTGCTGGATTGGCCATCCTGGGGGAAGGATTGTAAGGGATTTAAATACTGGAAAGTTATGCTGGGATGGGTTTCCTTGTTTCTCGAAGGTGTAATTTTTCAAAGGGAAGGGTGCCAGCTCAAGGTAAAGAAGGCAAAACCAAGAGTAGAAGTTATCTCTTAGGTTGTGAATCTTGTAAGTTCCTCTAAACAGTTAAATGCAAAGCTCGGGAAAAAAAGCCTGAACAACATGAACCAAGTAAGAGCTTAGTGTTCCACCTGTTGGTAGCCCAGACCAACTTTCTCCTGAACAACAACTGCAAAACAAGCACTAAATGTCTGTGTAATGTCATCAAGTCTCCTAAGAAAATAGCTGCCCCCTAAAAAACGTTTTCTACACTTATTTTCCAAAATATTTAATGTTAATTCCATGATCATTGGTGTGTTGCACTTGATCCCAAATAAATTGCATGAACAGGACCATTTGGGTAAACATCACTTCAGTTGCCTTTCTGTGACAGTAATATGAACTCAGTCACAGCCATGTCTTCTATCACAGAAAAAAATAGGGAAAGGTAAAATAAAGGTGCTCTATTAACTCTAAGTGTGACAATAATGTTTGAAACTGGTGTATTTTGGTTTGAAAGACAGGTATTTGCTAAAAGAGACTGGAGCATCTCTTTGAAATTGAGAGGGTAAACTCCCCGCCCCTCCCCTTCAATTTACTGTAATTTTGAAATTAAGGGGCTCTCAGGCAAAGATATGGGTGTAGGAATAACAGTTCTTTACTGATAAAAAAATATATATATAAAACAAGGCAAACAAGACACAACAACAATAACTATGAAATTAACAACAACAGAGCAGAAACCCGGAGAGCAGTAGCAGTTCTCTCGGTTGTGGACATCTTTCCCTTGTGATGCAGTTACCATCCCAGCTGGCAGGTAGTGCCGGCCAGCTCCCGGTGAGCAGGGAAGAGATGCGGCGATTGAACGTGGCTGCAGAGGTGCTGTGGTGATGGCGTCTGTGTCCCAGATGGGAAGGGCGGAGGGGAGACGCTGCTCACGGATCCCGGAGCAGTGTCGGTCCCAATGCTCCAACAGGATGCCTGAAGTCGGCAGAAGATGAAGGAGAACGTCTGAGCAGGGAGGTTACGGGATCCCACAGCCGAGAAAGGCAGCTCCCGGTGTCGGCGTGGCTGTTGGAGTCAGTAAGCCAGCGATCTCTCTGAATCCTTCAGAGAGAGAACGGAATGTAGGGACTGAGTTAAAAAGCCTTTGGATGGAATGAGTAAGTGAGTAGATGGAATGAGTAAGTGAGTACATGGAGCAAGTAAGTAAGTATATGGAATAAGTTTAAGTGCTTTTAGTAAGTAAAAGGTCTTAGATGCCAGAGAAGTAGTACATGTTCTAGTGAAGGTTGAAAAACATAGTCATAGATGCTAGTGTTTCCTTAGAGGCTCCAAGAACCTAGCTTCAGACATAATAGACTTATAGTTAAGAATATTGCCTACATTTTTCAGTTAGAACAAGACAGGCTATGTACATAGTTTATACGTAGCCTGGCGTGCTGAGAAACTAGAATTCTAATAGGTTAAGAAGTAGTGGTCCGAGTTTGTGTCTTAGCTAGTTGGAAAGGTTCTATAAAATAACATGCATCAGGGAGAGCTGGTGCTCTATGCCATGGCTTTATACCATTGCATTTTGCCACTGCTTTTGCCATTGCTTTATGTCACTTGCTTTTATGCCGTGTGCTTTTGCCATTGCTCTGCCATGTGTTTTTGCCTTTGAGACTGATGTGCTTCTGTAATAAATAACTTTATAGTAACTATTAGCTGCTTCGCTTTTGAAGAACATAACTCGACAGTGTGGGTGCCCAAGAAGCACCCAGAGGTTCCAAAACCTCACAGTGGCAGAGCGAAGTTTTTTCCTAGTGACTGTCCTCTTCCAAGCCAAACGAGCAAGAGCCAGCGACTGCCCAAACCTCTCCTTTACCTGCTGCCTGGATATTGCAGTGTTCCCCCCCCCTTCCCCTCCTCCTCCCCTCGAGAGAAACTAGCCATCTGAGCTAGGGGGTAGCCACAGATTCTTAGCATAACAAAGGGTAAAATTCCACAGAGACAAAAAACGAAACACCCAACCTCCAACATTATCCACCCCAAATTTTTGCCATACCAACATGCTACATCAAATTCAAACCTTTAAATTATATACATACATGCAGTTACAGATACAGGCACAATATCATAGGAAGTTCACCTGAAAACAAGGTCTCCTTGGGGTATGCATCAGGTCTCTCCATCCTTTTGCATCACCCACCAGGTGCAACCTGGTCCTTGAGCAAAAACAACCCCACGAATGGGATTGCCTTTGCTGGAGACAGAGTTCACCCAAATAGCTTTTCCTAGCATACCTCTTATATGTACCACTGGAACATTATCTCCATCTTGTGTTCCCAAGGGCTCAGATTGGGCAGGGCCTGCTCAGCTAGTGGAACCTCGGGTGTTCACTAACCATGTGGCCTTTGGTAGATTAATCTCCCAGTTCTTGAAAGTTCCCCCACCCAGTGCCTTCAAGGTAGTTTTAAGCAGGCCATTGCACCGTTCAACTTTCCCTGCAGCTGGTGCATGGTAGGGGATATGGTACACACACTCAATGCCGTGTTCTCTAGCCCAGGTGTTTATAAGACTGTTCTTGAAATGAGTCCCGTTGTCTGACTCAATTCTCTCAGGTGTACCATGTCTCCACAGGACATGCTTTTCCAGGCCCAAGATGGTGTTCCGAGCAGTGGCATGAGGCACAGGGTAGGTCTCCAACCATCCAGTGGTGGCTTCCACCATGGTCAGTACGTAGCGCTTGCCCTGGCGGGTTTGAGGCAGTGTGATGCAGTCAATCTGCCAGGCCTGTCCATACTTATATTTAGACCACCACCCACTATACCAGAGGGGTTTGACCCACTTGGCTTGCTTGATGGCAGCACACTTCTCACAGTCATGGATAACCTGAGAAATACTGTCCACTTATAGGTGGCATCTCTACCCTGGTGGCCTGAGGCATCATGGGCCCATTGTGCTAGGAACAACTTTCCCTTGTGTTCCCAATCAAGGTCTATCTTCGACTCCCCTATCTTTGCCTGATCTACCTGCTGATTGTTTTGCTGCACTTCAGTAGCTCTACTTCTGGGGACATGGGCATCTACATGGTGAACCTTCACGGGTAGTTTCTCTAACTGGGTAGCGATGTCTTTCCACTCATCAGCAGCCCAAATTGGTTTTCCTCTACACTGCCAGTTAGCCTCTTTCCATCTCTCCAGCCATCCCCACAGAGCATTGGCTATCATCCATGAATCAGTGTAGAGATAAAGCTTTGGCCACTTCTCTCTTTCTGCAATGTCTAGGGCCAGTTGAACCGCTTTGAGTTCAGCAAGTTGACTGGATCCACCCTGTCCTTCAGTGGCCTCTGCTACCCGTTGTGTGGGGCTCCATACGGCTGCTTTCCACCTCCAATTCATCCCTATGATGCGACAGGAACTGTCAGTGAATAGAGCATAGCGTGTTTCCTCTGCTGGAAGTTGGTTGTATGGCGGAACTTCTTCAGCCCGTGTCACTGGTTCTTGTTCCTCATCTGTGACACCAAGACTTTCACCTTTGGGCCAATTTGTAATTACTTCCAAAATCCCAGGGCAATTCAGTTTTGCAGTCCAGGCACGCTGTGTGATGAGGGCAATCCACTTGCTCCATGTAGCACTGGTAGCATGGTGGGTGGAGGGAACCTTTCCTTTGAACATCCACCCCAGCACTGGCAGTCGGGGTGCCAGGAGGAGTTGTGCTTCTGTACCAATCACCTCTAAGCTGGCTTGGACTCCTTCGTAGGTGGCCAAGATTTCCTTCTCTGTTGGGGTGTATTTAGCTTCAGACCCTCTGTAGCTCTGACTCCAAAATCCTAATGGTCACCCTCGAGTCTCGTCAGGCACCTTCTGCCAAAGGCTCCAGGACAGACCACGGCTCCCGGGTGCAGAGTAGAGCACGTTCTTCACATCTGATCCCATCCTGACTGGGCCAAGGGCTACTGCATGAGCAATTTCCTGCTTTATCTGGGCAAAAGCCTGTTGCTGCTCAGGGCCCCAATGGAAATCATTCTTCTTGCGGGTAACCAGGTAAAGAGGGCTCACGATCTGACTGTACTCAGGAATGTGCATTCTCCAAAAACCTATGGCACCTAAGAAAGCTTGTGTCTCCTTCTTGTTGGTTGGTGGTGACATAGCTGTGATGTTGTTGATGACATCAGTAGGACTCTGACACCGTCCATCTTGCCACTTCACTCCCAGGAACTGGATCTCGTGAGCAGGTCCCTTAACTTTACTCTTCTTGATGGCAAAGCCAGCTTCCAGGAGGATTCGGATGATTTTCTCTCCTTTCTCAAACACTTCTGCTGCTGTGTTCCCCCACACAATGATATCATCAATATATTGTAAATGTTCTGGAGCCTCATCCTTTTCTGGTGTAGTCTGGATCAGTCTATGGCAGATCGTAGGACTGTGCTTTGACCCCTGGGGCAGTTGGTTCCGGGTATACTGCACTCCCCTCCATGTAAAGGCAAACTGAGGCCTGCACTCTGCTTCCAGAGGAATGGAGAAAAATGCATTGGCAGTGTCTGGTGGCATACCACTTGGCTGCCTTGGAGTCCAGCTCGTACTGCAGTTCCAGCATGTCCAGCACAGCAGCACTCAGTGGTGGAGTCGCTTCATTCAATGCATGATAGTCCACTGTCAATCTCCATTCTCCTTCAGATTTACGCACAGGCCAGATGGGGCTGTTGAAGGGTGAGTGAGTTTTGCTGACCACCCCTTGGCTCTCCAGCTCTCGGATCATCTTATGGATGGGAACCACAGCATCTTGAGTTGTTCTGTATTGTCGGCGATGCGCTGTTGAAGTGGCAATTGGTACCTTTTGCTCTTCTCCCTTCAGAAGTCCTACTGAAGTTGGATTCTCGGACAGTCCAGACAAGGTGTTCAATTGCTGGATGCCCTCTGTCACCACAGCTGCTATCCCAAATGCCCACCTGAGTCCTTTTGGGTCTTTAAAATACCCCCTTCGGAGGTAATCTATGCCCAAAATGCATGGGGCCTCTGGGCCAGTCACAATAGGATATTTTTTCCATTTATTTCTGGTCAAGCTCACATCAGCTTCCACCAGGGTAAAGTCCTGTAATCCACCTGTCACGCCAGCGATAGAGACAGATTTTGCCCCCACATATCTTGATGGGACTAATGTGCATTGGGCACCAGTATCAACCAAAGCTTTATACCTTTGTGGTTCCGATGTGCCAGGCCAACGAATCCACACAGTCCAGAAAACACGATTTTCCCTCACCTCTCCCTGGCTAGAGGCAGGGCCCCTCTAAGCCTGTTTATCCTTCTTTCCTTGGGCATATGTCTTAGAGGTTCCTTCAAGGGGACCAGACATATCATCATCATCATCATCATCATCATCATCATCATCATCATCATCATCATCATCATCATCATCATCATCATACTTGGCAGCTTGGCTATGGGCAACTGGAGCTGCTCTCCTTTTGGTGGAACTTCCTCTTTGAGTCTTTCCTTCCTTCAATTCACACACCCGTTGTGCCAGAGCAGCAGTAGATTTTCCATCCCATCTCCTCATGTTTTCTCCGCAATCACATAGGAAGAACCACAGCTCAGCTCGTGGGGTATACCTTCTCTCCCTATCGGGGGAACGTCTGTGTTGGATACCAGGGCCTCTAATTTGTACTGCTGAGATTTGGAGAAGGTCCTCTTTAATCTCCTCCCTGAGTTTCTTATGATTCTCCTCTATCTTGTAATTTCTGCAGATGTGTTTCCACTGCTGCTATTCTGGCATGTGTTGGGCCATGCACAGCATCTGCATATACTCAAAGCTTCTTTGCCATATCGAGCACGGTCTCATCCCTCTCATCCTGCTTCATTATTGCTAAAGCATAATGAAGCATATTCACGGGGCCCAAGCCGTACAAATTTTCACCGCATCATAGATGTACATGGTACCAAGTCCGGATTCCTAGTTGTTATGTCATCTGAAAAGATAATCTCTGCCATGTCACTGGTGGGGTTTCAGGGTCCCTTTGGGATCCCTGAGACTGCTTTTGCAGCCCTCAGCGACGGAGCAAATTCCTGAGCCTTGCCCAGATAGAATTGTGGCTCGCGGTGAGCTCTCAGACCAGCGGGGTAAAGAGACCAGCATATGCAGAGAGGCACAGATCCATAGTTTATTCTATGAAGGCATCCTATCTAGCATATACCAATGGCTATTGTTTTACAGGGGTTTTTATATCTTTTGAGGGTTTTACAATTTGCACCAATTACCAAGGGAATTCTACTTTCTAACCAATCCCTGAGGGATTTTACATTCAAAGCTGGCGTATGGATACTAAAAGAAAATGAACGACTAATATTGAAGATAGATAAGAGGGTCTTCCAAAGGGGGGAAGCTAGATTCCTTTTGTATTCGTCATTTCACAATCCATTTATTATCTCTAAGCTATGATTTTCCAAGGAGCTTGTTCTGAGGATGCAGGAAAACTTTCTTCTGTGTTTTCTGCTCCCTCCACATTGCCACTGCCATTTCTCTCAGGCGTTGGATCCCTTGTTCTATAGTCTTCCACTGGGTCTGCTGCATATAAAGATCATCTGCACACAGGTATCTTTGTGCTACACTGTCCAGGACCCGTGCCCAGAGGCTGTGAGGGTTAGCCCCCCTCATCATTCCTTGGTCGATGACAGGATCATGGGATCCCAAATGCTTGGCTTCAGTGCCGTCCAGAATTGTAGCCTTGCCTGCAGCATCCCAAAGACGGACCAACCAACTAATTATAGACTCATCAGGTCGTTTGGTGTAATCTTGTCTTAGGCCACGGAGGTCCTTTAGGGAAAAGGACTCAGTATTGGCCTCTGATCTTGTACCAGTTACTTTGATTCCTGGTTTTATGTCAGGAGGCGTTGAGAGTCCTTCTCCTGCATCATCATCATCATCGTCATCTGCTGGTCGATCGGTCTTGTCTGTGTGCTTTCCACTTCTCGTGCTAGTAGCAACAGCCATTGGTTGAGGCTTACTGACAGGTTTAGCTGCTGGCTTAGGCTCACTGTCTGGTTTAGTTACTGGCCTCGAGCCTGGGGTGTTGGCTGCAGCCTGAGTGACTGAGATAGTGGCAGATTTATCTGCCTGTCCCCCTTCCTCTGTCTGCTGCCCTACAGTATCTAGCAGGGTATGGTAAGCATATGCCAGGGCCCAGCTCACTGCAATGATCTTTTTCTCCTTAGAGTTATCATGGCACTTCTCTTTCAGGTACCTTACCACCTCAGCTGGGTTCTGAATTTCTTCACATGGAAAATCCCAGGCTGTAGGGTCAGAAAATTCCTTTAAGATTTGGCCCATATCCTCCCATTTCCCACACCACTCAGGATTTCTCACGCCTGGTTCTACTTCTGGGTCAGGGGTCTCATCAGCCCCTCTAAAAATCTCAGCTCTCATTCTAGAGGAACTGCAGACTGTATAGAGAAAGCTTACCAGATTAAACATCAGAAAGATGGTCTCATTAACATTCAGGGGAAAATGAACATTCTCTAATAGGGATGTAACAAATTCAGAGGAGAAGAAGGAAAAGAAAAGCTGAAAAGCCTCATCCCCTGCTTCTCCTCTAACAAACTGGGTGCACAACCATAACCATGAACCATAC